TGGGGGGGGGGATAAGATAGAAAGAGAAAAACAGCCTCTGACAAAAAAGTGACAAAGAGACACAGGGGAAGTACAAAAAATAAAGGGGGAAAAAGGGAGAGACAAAAGACCTGGGGCTGTATGGCGCGAGGAAAATAAATCTTATCTTCTCCGCTATCTCCCCGAAGGCCCTACATCCGGCCCAGATAATGATAAGACAACACATACTGCGCCAGGAATCTACATAAGCAAACACGCCGAGCAAGGGATTACCTTTTCATTCTTTCTTTATAAAAAATTGCTTATAAATGTGCCGCGGGATATTTGTTTTTTCTTTCCCTCCTCTTCCCTTTTCTTTAATGCACTTGAAATGCGATGAATGCGGAACGACCCGTGAAACTACCTTAAGATTAAGTAACAGCGTATAAAAAAGATAGTGAATGCTTACTCGCAGACTCCCTTCCTTATCTGTAGTTCGGCTATACCACTGTCTCGTCCTCCAAGAACCGCTCAGACGAAATTAAGGTCGAAAACCCTATAGGCATCCAGTGTAACAACGTACCTTATAAGCTCGAATATTTCCGGCGTTTCCCTTTCTCTCTTTTTCATGCGATCCTTCATGGCCGCTATGATGTTATTGGTCTTGTCCTCCGCGCCATGCTTGCTGCTCTTCTCAGCCGCTCCTGCAAGCATAGGTCGTGGCGTTATTCTCAGTAATGGTTATTGGCTACTCAGCGTTACTCGAGCGTTACCAGTCAGCATTACTCGAGGGGAAAATTGGCATGCAGGCATAACACGATGCATTATTTGTTTCTCGGTGTTAGTCATCTCGGAGAGAGAGATATGCCGGTATTAGTGTTTGGTCGTAAAAGTTGTTGTGTTGCTGTGAAAAAATTATCTGGCTTTTGGGGGAGGGAAATGAAAGGGTAACTCAATACACACCCCTGCTAAATTTATCATTATCTACTTGTACCTGAAAGTGGGGTAAAGAGAACGAGGAGAGGAAGGCGAGAGAGTTAATCTACGCCTATACACATCAAATTAAACCTATCACACAAAAATACTAATAAGCATGCCCCCCCCCCCGATGCCCCACCTTTGCCTAGACCTCCAAATCTCGGCCTCGTATTCCGCATCCACACTCTCCTGCCTTTATGCCGACTGCATCCCCGATCCAGCATTTGCGAAGTCATCCTATTAGACAAGAGCGAAGATTGCATTTGCAGCTCTGCGGTCTGTTCCTCGTTCTCTTTCACCTTTTTTTTATTCCCTTCTCCTTCATACCCGATTCCACAGAGTGAAGGCTGCATCCTCGGATGTTTCTCGTTTATTCCTCTCCTTTTTTTTCTCTCCATCTTTCTGTCTCTCTGTCTGACTCTTAGTCTGTCTGGCTGTCTGTTTGTGTGTCTGTCTTGTCTGTCTATGTGTCTGCCTTGTGTGTGTGTGTGTGTGTGTGTGTGTGTGTGTGTGTGTGTGTGTGTGTGTGTGTGTGTGTGTGTGTGTGTGTGTGTGTGTGTGTCTATCTGTCTGTCTCGCTGTCTCTCTCTCGCTTCCTCCTTCCTAGCCATCTTTACCCCCTAAATCAAGAGATAACCCTACCCTTCCATTGCTAAGCCTCAAAGTGAACATCCCAAGAATCCTTTAAACGTCCGAGAACAAAGAAACAACAACAAACCAACTAACCAACCAACAAACAATCATACAGAAAAAAAAGAAAGAAAAGGAAGAAAGAAACAGAGAAAGAAATAGCGGAAGTGACCGTTACCGAAAAGGCGCTAACTTTTGGTTTATTACCTCATTTTGCACTAATGGGGAAGCACTGAACAGCTCTTAGGTAACTTACCGTGATGGCATAGATTACGTGATATTGTTCCGAGTAACGATGTGTCAGTTAATAGTCATTTTGTGTTGTTATTCAAGACGAGAAGAAGAATGAAGCGGAAGAGGAGAAGAGGAATGTGAAGAAGAAAGATAAGATGTGGTAGTAGGAGGAGTAAATTTACAAGAAGGAGAAGGAGAGGAGAAAATGAAGAAGAAAAATAAGAAGAAGGTGAAGTAGGAGAAAATTGAGAAGGAGAAGAAGGAGGAGAGGGAGAAGAAGAAGAAGAAGAAGAAGAAGAAGAAGAAGAAGAAGAAGGAGGAGGAGAAGGGGTAGGAGGAAGAGGAAGAGCAAAAGGAGGAAATATGAGAATGAGAGAGAGAGAGAGAGAGAGAGAGAGAGAGAGAGAGAGAGAGAGAGAGAGAGAGAGAGAGAGAGAGAGAGAGAGAGAGAGAGAGAGAGAAAGAAAAAGAGAATGAAGGAGGAAGAGAAAGAAAAAAAGAGAGACAATCTGGAAGAACGGAACCAGGAAATCAGCAAGGAAAATCCCACACCAACGGCGACCTCCCAACAGCAATCTCTCCCCCAGTCTCCACCGCATAAAACGGCTTTAACAATAACAATAGCGATGGAGACACTCCGACCCGAGGCACAATCTGGGTCGATAAATTCCCAACCTATTAATAATTCACAACTCCGCGTCCAGCTCCCCCGTCCTCCGCCTAAGAAAGAAACGGAACAGAGGGAACGGGGGAATAATGCATAAATAACAAGGGAAGCACAAAGGGAAGCGCATTAAAGCGACAGGTGAAGCAGGCGACGCAGGTGTAGCAGGTGGGAGGTGACTCGACCAATGCCACACCTGCTCCCTGTAGATCGATCGAGTAAATGACTATCGATCAGAGGTATGCGTCGACAGCCCCATCTAGGCTGATGTAATAACACTGTGCTCGTGTGTCATGTTCGGTTGTAGGATTTTTACGATTTCGTGTGATCATGTTAAAGGAATTAAAAAGGAGAGTTTTTCCCTATACACTCTTAAATCAATTCAAGTTGACATAACAAGACTCATTAAAAAAAATGAAATAAAAATCAGTCTAAAAAATCTTTTATGATGACTTCTGCACTTTTAAGAAGGGCGACTTGACTCTCTCTTACCTGTGTAACCTTTGGCTAAAAGTGCGTTTTGGGCCGTCAGGTAGGAAAGCTTTGATCCTCTTACAGGAGTAGCGTAGGAAACCTTTAGAGCTTTTGCGGGTTTTTCTAAATGTAATGAAGGGACAAGCAAAGATGACGGGGGAAGGAGCGCGGGGAGCTGAGAAAACACATTACTGTCTGAAGCATAAAAGCAACATCCTGACTCTTCCTTTTCCCTGGGTATAAAAACTGCCATTTAGATGCACAGCGTGTAACGCTTTTACAAAATGAGATAGGAAGAGGAGTAAACAAAGGCAAAGAACAATATATAATAAACATAAAGCAAAGACATTTATTGTTACCTGTAGAGTACCTGCGTTAAGTAAGCAGACACAACATAGCTTCAGCCGAACACACAGTCCATGTAGAAACAGACATAGCACTTACTGTTTCCACGAACTAGACGTAGAAGCACATAGTACTTACTCTCTACAAGCACTTGGATTACCTCGATGTTGGGCAACCAGGGTGCGTGCTTGGCCAAGTTGTAAGCAGCTGTTGTAGTTGATGATGACGTCACACATACACAACAAACGGGTGACGTCACGGAGAACAAACACACGTGCAAATACGAAAATACGAAAGAAATAATAGGAGAAAACTACAACTTTTTAAAAGTTCAGGCAAGTATCATGCAAATAAAAACGGTGGGTGTATGATTATCGTGCAGGAATGTGTATTTCATTTTCTTACTATAGATACACATAAGGATACATACATACATCTACACACACACACACACAAATCCTACACTAACACTGTCGAAAGCGACAGCGTCGGATCCACACTGTAAAATGGAACACTACCTACGTACTACAAAATGATAGCAGGTAAACTAATTTGATTGGACCTGTACATTAAACGGAAAGCTATAATTAGATTTCGTTGGGGCATTCGCAACAATTTACATGCAATGTTACCGCCAATAAATTGCATACTGCACAAATATTTACCTGGTCTGCAACGATTTGGCTACACTACCTGCTACAACGTTACCAACCTCGGTGCATACGGCCTTTTAAGGATATAAATAAACTACAAACTTAACGTACCTTGTTTTATGCACGGTGGAGAAGTAGTTAATTAATTTTAAAATAACTACAAACATGTTTATGTAAAATCCTTATGTAAGATCATGTAACTTGTATTACAGGTGGGTTAGTCAACATCCTGTTCTGATGTTCTTACGTGTAAAAGATTTAGGATACAAAACATGAATTATAGAAATAGAACGCAATTTATATGAATATACAAAAAAAAAAAAAAAACGATTTGGCTACACTACCTGCTACAACGTTACCAACCTCGGTGCATACGGCCTTTTAAGGATATAAATAAACTACAAACTTAACGTACCTTGTTTTATGCACGGTGGAGAAGTAGTTAATTAATTTTAAAATAACTACAAACATGTTTATGTAAAATCCTTATGTAAGATCATGTAACTTGTATTACAGGTGGGTTAGTCAACATTCCTGTTCTGATGTTCTTACGTGTAAAAGATTTAGGATACAAAGATGAATTATAGAAATAGAACGCAATTTATATGAATATACAAAAAAAAATATATATATGGAATCCTGGTTAAAGACTTTTCTCTTTCTCTAAAAAAGCCACATATAGAAAACAAAAATAAATACAAAATCACATCGCCATAAAAAAAATCCGTCGACATAAAATATAAACTTGGCAAGAAAAAAATAGTCAAACCCACGAGAGAAAAAAACAAACACACACACACACACACACACAAACTCCTCCCACCCGAGTCCCAAGCGCACTTACTCTGCAGACAGTCCGCGTTGAGCAGGTCCTTGCACTTCTCGTGGCACTTGACCCCGCACTCGACGCAGCGGACGCCCTGCCGCGCGATGCCCCACAGGAGGCCCTCGCACTCGTAGCAGTAGGTGGGCGAGGTGGCCGTCCAGGGAAGGAACTTGTGGGGCGTCGTCGAGGAGATCGGGTAGATGAGCGCCTGCAGCGTCTTCTTGTACACGTGCATTTT